TTACAAGATATTATTATTATTTATTGTGAAATTTTGCCGCGCCTTAAAAGTGCCGCCCCTGCCGCCCCCAGTACGCTACGCCACTGGTCAGCTGATGAAACCAGTGTTAAATTCGTGGCTACCAATGGCTGGTTTGAAAAATTCAAAAAACGCCATTCAAACGCCAAGTTTTTCTGTTTTTAGAACCGAATCCCAGTTTTTGTATTGAGTTGGTGTCTCCTATAACGCGATTTCCCACAACGCGGTATTTTCAAGGAACGTATCTACCGCGTTGTAGGAGGCCTACCTGTACCTCTTTTGTCGCATCACTAGTATATCTGAAAGGACGCGACAGGGCTGTTGTAGATTTTAAACGTTTCTCACCATAGCTGTAAAAATCTAAATATGTTAAACTTAACAGTCATTTGTTTTCTAACTAATTCGTTTTAGGACCAAGTGTACTCAGAATTTCCAAATTTACAACTTTTCGGTCACTCTCATTGAACTGGAAAAATTTCTGTTTTTATTATATCTAATATTACGAAGAAATCAGTCTCCACTGTACTCGGCTAGAGATTCGTTCGGTTAAGCTTGTAAGTAAAATTCCGGCTCTTTCAGCAGGGTTTTATGTCCCTAATTCACTAATCACTTAATTATTTAACTACACTACTTTAAAAATATTCACTCGCTATTAGATTTTATGTTGAAAGTAAGGCACCTGTATTCGGATGAAGGGACTCTAACAAAATAGTAATAATATCGCTAAACCATGTTTATAGGCGTGTGATGAAATTGGGAAGTATATACACAGAAAAAAATTTCGATTTCGATTATAACGAGCAGGAGAAAACCCGGTAAGATATATATATGCGCAATACATATCCCTATATGTAAAGCCGTGACTCATAAATGACTCACTACAGTGAGGCATTTTCAAAGCTAATCCCGATGGCCACCAAAATGAAATGAAACCATTGGACTTACACCTCAAACCAGCTCTGTAGTCCACGCGATTTGCGACACAGCTTAAACTATTAATCCTGTGAGCAGTGTTATCGTTTCAGTACAACTGTACTGAATTCAGCGCGTTCTTATAAAATTCCGTGGGTCAATATCACTTAAAAAAAGAGCTATTTATTAATTCTCTTTTTGTATCTGCCATCTGTAAAATTGTTTCATTAATTCTGCTTGTCCACTTGCTCTTCATTGTTCTTCTGATTGACCACATCTCAAAGGCCTGAATTTTCCTCTCAATATCTTTCCGTAGTGTCCATGTCTCATATCCGTAAAGCAAAATGGGCCAAATATAGCATTTTAGCGTTTTTAGTCTTAATTGAAGCTTCAATTTCTTTTCGCACAGAATGTTTTTCGTCTGGTTAAACTTAGCCTGTCCAATTCTGCTTCTAATTTCCTTTGTTAAATTTATTGTTTGTATAAAATTTTTTTCCTGAGTAGCGGAAGCTAACTACTTGTTCTAGGTTCTCTCCTCTGCATTTCAGCTTTATTGTGTGCCTATCTTTACTTATGCACATTGTCTTAGTCTTCTTTATATTTATTTGAGTCCTAATTTCTTCACTTTTTGATACTAGTTTGATACTAACAATATCTGTAATTGTTTTTCTGATGTAGTGAGAATGACTGTATCGTGACGATATCGTATGAGACAATTATGAACCCGATACTATGCAAAGTAGGTTGAAAATACATTTTAAAAAAATGTTTAATTATAGTAACGCGAAAATATGCTAATCGTTTTCGATGTGAAACATGTATTAACACTTATTGTTTAAATTCATAATCGACTTTTATAATTTTTATACATACTTAAAGGAAAGGGTAAGTTTGCATTCTACTTAACTTTATATACGATTTAATCTAAATTAAAGCAAATATTAAGATGTAAACGCAAATCGGATTTTATGGTTTGACTGATGTCCTGTTAACCGAAGAATACCTGGAAATTATTTCGTCCCTTGAATTTCGAACTAACGAGGATTTCCTGTATTAATACATACGTCTGATACGTATTAACATAAACCAAATTCTTGTGTTTGAAATAATACTTTCAAACACAAGAAATGAAATGAATTGAAATCAATCAGAGTTCAGAAAACGTGACAATTTTACATAGGACAAAAGCATTTGTTAGCGATTAGAAGTAAGAATATTACACCACGTCTATGCTTTTTCATTATTTCAATATATAAACTGCGAAAACATTAAACTTATTTATGAAATTTTTTTAAACTAAATCAAGAGATTATAATTTTAAAAATTTACTGCTACAAACATTTTAAATAACGCTAATGAAATTACAACTGTATCGTTTCAAAGAAGAAAAACAAAAATGAACTTTAAATTCAAATTTAAGTGTTCGATTGACGTAGAACAAAATCGTTTCTTTTAAAAACACATCCGTTCGAATTATCGAATTCCGTTATTCTTCTTTCGTTCCAAAGAAAAAGAACATCATGGACGATCGTGGAAAAGCGCAAAAGCGAAAACGCGATCTCACCCCTTCCATGTTAGAGGAAGATTCCTCTCGAGTAAAGAAATTGACTCCCGTCGATCGAAACCTGCTTCGGACTTTAAACGATGTCTTCAACGACTACAGCAAAAAAGTAAGAAAAGACATTCGAAGAAAACGTATGGGAAGCAAGAGAACAACTAGAAAGAGATCGAAGGTAAGGAAGGTCGGAAGAAGACGGTCAAAATCGAAAAGGATGGCAGGGAGAAAAGAAAAAGGACGATCGAAGAGAAGAAAGGAACGAAGCGGAAGATCTCGTAGAAGGGGCAGTCGAGGCAGAAAGAAAATAGGGAGTCAGTAGAACGGTCATCTTCACAAATGTCCCAGAGAACCGGAAACGGAATTGCTAGATTACCGTAATCTAGTGACCAAACGGCTCTTTTCAGAGCCATGTTTTTATTGATAAAGAGGAGCCAAATCCATTTTAATAAACAGCAATTAATGGTTTATTATATATATCATAATTAATATATGTTATACATTCAATTTTACTTTAAATTTTGAATCGTTCGGAACGTTTCGAATGTACAAATTCGAAACTGTTTAGCGTGTAGTGAAAATTGGCTTTTTGATTATTTAATACTTTAATTTTTACGTAAATCTTAAATAATCTTTTTACTAAAGTTGTCACACGTGATTATGTAAATTACGTCTCTTGGTAGGAGTGATGTACCTCAAACTTAGATACTGTAACGTTTACAGTATTTCAAAGTTCGCCACAATTGTTCGTTTTGGTCAGTTTCTTATTCGATTTAAACTGGATTTTAGAATGTGGCAATTGTCAACTGACGAAGAAATTGCGATTCGTTTTTTCCTAGATAGTGGAATCTTACACGGTGAGTTAAGATATAATCCCACTACGATTATTGATCGGAATGATTATATGCGTTATGTCTGTACCGAGTTTTTAGTATCGTTAATCATTGTAAAATTAGGTGGTGCGAACAGAGTCGTTGATGTGTATCCCTGTGTGTCCCGAAGAGTACCACTGCAGTTAGAGAAGATTGGTTATTTTTATAATTTTAGTTAACGTTATATTTTTAACTGTTCAATCACTTGAATTTTGTAGATAAGAAGTACAAGTGTATTTGATATAAAAATCCACCAATAAAATATTAAACGGCTTCGGAAATTACACATGGTTTTATTTGGTGATTATGCAAATTACATTAATTAAATAATTGCTTCTTCGCGGTATCAACTAATTTTGACGTTTTAATTCTGATCCTCTCTCAATAAAATCTATATGTAAAATCAAATAAATAAATAGAGATATTGGCGAAGATTTGAAAATTTTCCTCAAAAGATGAAAAAAAAAACATTTTTACAGGCAGTCTGTTACAAAACAATTTAAACTTGTATATTCCAAGAGACAATATATTTCAAAGAAACTCAGAAAGTACATGGAAAATAATAAGATTTTTAAATACTGTACTTCTTAAGTAGAAATAAGTCGAAACCGGTTACTTTTTTACTTAATATTTGTAGTCGTGGGAAAAAAGTGGAAAGATAAATTTTTATGACAACGGATACGTAAATCGTAAATTTAAGGAAAATAAATTCTAGAGCTTTTTCTGTACCTCGTGCATCTCTCTCATTCATTAAATTTGTAAATGATGCTGTCAAAGTAACGGTTAATTTTTTAACATTGTACAAGAATTGTACACGTTTTTTTCTACATTCCCTTAAAGATGGGATATACGAAATCGTTATATCACTGGTTTAACATTGAAATCCGTGAGTAATATAAAATCGGAGAGCGGAATAAAAATATCAAATATTTTAATGGATTTTTTTAAATTTCTGTCAACTACAGTATACAGAACTATCATAAAAACATACTAGTAAATTCTTATCGGTTGGGTTGTTATAAATCTACTGGTGATTCACGTAATCGGGCGAGGGCGGCCAACAGCCCAGAACCGATCCTGGAGAGAATTGGATGCTGTATACGTGTAGCACCCAACCAAGGTCCTAGGCTTCCACCGGCTAAGCCGGGTGAGGTTGATTTTTTTTTTTTTTTTTTTTAAATGAAAGCCGGGCGAGGTTGATGTTCTGTAAAGCGCAAGCGCGAATCTGGCTTTTTGGATGCTGACGATGCAGCGCTTCCACTCCGCCACTAATATTCGAATATACAATAGCAATTTTATCTTTTTTTTTCACGTGTAGTATAGAAATTTGTAATAAGATACATATTGCTGTTATAATAAAATATTGTGCGATTTATTTTCATATAATTAAAATTAATATGTATTTACAGTATTTATAAGAGAAGCGGCACATCCACCGCTTCCAATGATGGCACGCCACTGGCGGAGAGTTAAAAAAAAAAAAAGACATACATAGGTTTAAAAATATTAGGCCTAATAATTTAGTTGCCTGTAAAATTTTTCAGACATTTTATTGATCCTTGATCTAAAAAAGGTTGATGAACGCTGTCATAGAAAATTTAATTAAGAAAAAAAAATTTGGGAAACTTTTTCATCTGGCAACACTTTTAGCAGTATCTTTAGTCTGTGCTTCTAAAGCGACTGCCTTAACCTAAAGCCAACGATCATATGCGTAGCAGCCCTAATAACATTTTTCAACGAATAAAAAAAATATTAGCAAAACTAGTGATCACCTCCCGACTCCCGTTACATAACTAATAAAACGAAATAGCTAGTGTAGCTAACGCCCAACCATCCCTCCAGAGGGCGCCAAGTCTAGTTACGGTTATTTTCATGCTTTTCTATTGTTAGATGGCTACGTTAACGCGATTACTTTATTAGATAAATGAATACTTTTAACGATAAAAAAAGACTACTTTAATTGAAATCTGTGATTTTATAAAGTATATATTTGGCTACTTAGATCCAGAAGATATATATATATATTAAGGAATCGAGAAACGACGTGGATCTTCCATATTCTGACAGATTTCAATTAAGTAAATACAGTATTACGAAAAACTCCATAAAATGAATCAAAAAGACTTAGATACTCTTCTAGAACATCAACAAAAGGTACAATAAGTTTTTTTTATATTCTATCTTTTTATCATGCGAAATTTCGCTGGAAATATATTCTGTAAATGGTCTCAATTGCAGGAGGATATTACCTACTACTGTTATATTTTATTATTATTAAATGCTTATTAACATAAATTTCAAAACGTGGATTCTTTTATTGAATTCAAAGTATTATGTTTGGTCAGGTGATCTTTTCTTGATTTGTTAACTATCATTAATTAATGGACATTACTTTGTTTTACAACATTGAGTACACATGTCCCCTGCAATGAAATTATATCATTTTTGCACCCTTCATTGCAGGAATTAACTTGCTTTAAAAAGTTTTCATATAATATTAAATTTTATTTGTTATCCTCTTTATGACACAATGAAAACGTTAAAAAAATACTTTGATACATAGTGTTTTCAGTAACAAATATAAAATGATTGGATTTTCAATGAAAATACAGATTTATTTGTTTTATTTTGAATTTCACAATCATGAATTTAATGTTTTACTGAATTCTTATTTAATAAACTGTTTTTGCACAACTTTATGAAATTTCTTATGAAACAAATTGTATGAGGAAATGCATTTTTATCATGTCTCAATGATTTGATACACTAATACTAACAAGTATATGTAAAAAATTTTTTCTGGATTAGGTTTTACAATAAATCATTCTACCTAAATGATTCTATTCTAGTCCATAATATCTATGGACTAGAATAGAACCATTGCAGGGAACAATTACCTCCAGCAGAGATATCTTGCCTTCATATATAAAATTTCACCAGTTTTCTAAAACTCTCTGCTAGACTGAAATCAATTGATTATTATTAATTATAGATATATTGTAATCTGAATTTTTAAACATGTTAATTATATATTTTTTCTTTTTATTGTTTTCTAATGATATTTGTATTACAGTAGAGCCTCGATTATCCGACCCAATTGGGGACTGGGGTTGGTCGGATAACCGAAAAGTATGAAAAAATCCATTATTAGTGTAGTATATTATTATATCTCATATAATTAGTATATTAGTATATCACTATTAACCTACTTTGCGTTGAATTTTCATCGATGTTAAGCCTAACAAAAATGTTTTAAAATAATAATCGTTGCTATTGTATAATTAAAAATTATAAAATTAAGCCTCGTTTAAATACTGGCTCCCTTTCATGGTCGAATGAGTGTTGCCAGCTAAAACACGCAAAAATTTAACAAAAATAATATTAAAGTAGCCAAGACATAGCCAAATATTGTAGCGCCACATTACTAGCGGACATTTGAAATTTGCCAACTAGACGGTCGGTTAACCGAGATGTCGGTTAATCAGGGGTCGGATAATCGAGGCTCTACTGTAATATACTGTGTACTGTGAATAAATAAATGTGTATACATATATATATATTATATAAATTTATTTGAAAAACAATATCAATTTGTTTTGTAAATATGACTTTCAAATAGAATATTTATTACATTTTTAGTTACTGTTATGTCAGTTCTTTTATTTGTTGATAGACATAACAGTATAACTTATATAATTTACTTACATAAATTAAATTAAAAATTTATCTTTAAATTAAAATTTAAAATTAAATGCCATAATCAAAACTTAACATTACAATTTAAACATCATAATTTCTCTGAAGAATATAATAATGTCTTTATTTGACAAGTTAATATCTTAATAACTAATTTATTTAGAATTAGTTAACAATAACCAAAGTAGCGTATCATCATCAATACAATGGTTTTGAACCTAGTATTGTTTATATGATATTTTAATAATTTATATATTTGTAATTTCATTAAAACTTATATAACTTTGTTATTTATTACTAATTATTATCAGAATTATACTAAGATTAGTTTTTATATCAATAAATCATTGATAATATCATGATGATAATTTATAGTACTGTACAATTTTAATTTTGGTGTTGGGGTGATATTTTGTTTAAATTATCTAAATATGAAAATTTGTGAGTTAGAAAATGATGTAATTGCTATGTTAATAGATAATTTACAAGACGTGTTCAAAAACTTCCAGAAATAGTTCATGTAAACCATAATTTTTTTTTGTAATAAAAATTAACCAAAAAGAAAAACATATTATACAAAGCAACTTTTTTATGATTAATTGTGTAGTGTAAATTTTTTAATATAAAAATTGAGAAACATATAAAATTTTCAAAAGAATAGATATTGAATAATTATGAAATCATTTTTTGAATTCAAGAAATAGTATAATTAAATAGACATAAATAATTTAAAGAAAATCAGTTTCACAATCAAAATGTTTATATTATTTTAGATTAAATTTTTCTTTCCTTTTTTGAAAATAATTAATTATTCTGAGAATAATTTTTTATTTGTGATCAAAATAAATTTAATATTAATTAGACACTGCTCAAAAATATTTTTTCTTACATGTAGATTTTTTAAAATCTTATTATTTAATTATTTTAGTGCCAATTTAAATGATAAAATAGATCTGTAATATTGATATAATGATAATAGAAATGCTCTCTAGATATCTTTATATGGTATTTCAATATTATCTTTATTAATAATAAACACATTCAAATTTTTATTATTTCAGGGATTGGCTGCATGTTTTCAACAAATAGAACAATGGTAAGAATCACAATTACACATTTTATTGAATATTTAAAATTTCTATAAATGTACATTTATAAAAATTAAAATATTCTCTTAGTATTTTTCTATTTACCTAATGTTTAAAATGTGAATATAGATGATCATTTTGATTAAAATGAATATTTCAGGAAAAAGTTTAAAAGTGATTATGAAAATTTGAAAAATCGCTTAGAAACGTTAGCTGACAAAATATCATATGATGTTATGGTAAGATTTAAAAATTGTTATATTAATATATAACAATTTTTATACATTAATTATTTTTAAAATTTACTTTAAACCTTTTTAAGGGTGAAATTTTACATTTTGTCATTTAAAAACATCAGAATCTGATACAAAATAACTATATAATTATTTAAATTTTATTTTTCTATTTTGAATTTATAATTATACATCAAAGATATCCATATTTAAATTTCTCTTAGACACTAATATTAATTAAAAGTAATGCTCTGTTAAGATAATTTTCTTTATTTCTGTTGAAGAGATTTATTTCTATGCTTATTTGAACTTAGAAAGCAATAAAAGATTATATATTTCTTAAGCTAATTTTATTGTCTAAAAATTTTCAGCAACTTTTTTTTTCAATAAAAATAAGATGCTACTTCTATTATAAGAATGTTGTAATATTTAAAATAGTCATAAACTATATGCATTTCTTTTATGTAGAGTTTTGTGTATTATTTAAAGGTTAAAAAAAATACACATACATTTGGATCCTAAGTTATATCTTAATTAGAGAAGTTGTAAAGTTTTCTAAAAATATAGATATACTAAAACTATTTGGAGAATTAAAATTTTGCTTAATTTTTATATTTTATTAGTTCTATTGGTTAATGATTAAGAATAAAATGATGTAAAATAAATGTCTACTGTTTAATTTATTATAAGTTTTTGTTCTTGATTAATGGCACCCTAAGGATATTTATTTAACAAAAAAGTGTTTAACAATTGAACATGAGTGTGTATTATTAATTGGTTTGAAGATTGTTTCAAAAGTCATTTCATATTTAGATTAAGATGTTTTAAACTTTTGAATAAGGTTCAGGTATTAGATCTTGTTAACTCATGTATGGAAGTGTTATGATAAAATTAAGTAATCTATGTATATACATATATGATCAGTTCAAAATTAGTGCCATCAAAAGTGATTGCAAATGTTGATCTTTAATTAGATTTTGTTTACTTTGTCTTTGAAAATGTCTTTTCATACAAATAGGTAGTGCTAAAAATTGAAAGGAATTCATGAGCAAAACTTTTAAATGAACATAAAAATCAATTGGACATCATTTATACATCTCTCTATTTCCCTATGTATTTGTCCTTCAATATGCCATTAGATTACAGATCAATTATTTCCACTTAAAGTTCAGATAGTAGGTTCAGTACAATTTATAATACTATATAAATAAATGTTTTAAAAGGAAAAATTTTTCTCTTCTATAATATTAAAATCTATAAGAGAGAAATTTGGCACTGTACTTGATGTTTAGAATTATTATATTTGTATCATAGTTCTGTTAAAATTTATTTTAAATTGAAAACAAATTATGGATTGATGAAACATTGTAGTCATGTGTTATTACACATAAGTAGTAGAATACATCATTATATTCAAGACTTATCACATATTCTTAATGTTTGAGTTAAGGAATAATTATTTTATTTATATATGGGAGTTAAAAACTTTTCTCATTCATAATCTTAGTTATAATGATAATTTATTATTATGGAAAAGATTAAAAGTTCAAAAATGTTTTATATAAATTAATTTATGATAATAGCAGCAAAATGTGCCATAGATTAATCTACATAAATTTATTACATAGGTTCCACTTGGACCTTTGGCATTTATGCCTGGAAAGTTAGTACATACTAATGAAATTACAGTGTTATTAGGAGATAATTGGTTTGTTGACAGGTCTTCCAAACAAGCTACTGAAATTGTTAAAAGAAGAATTAAACGTATGATGACTTTTTATTTATAGATAATAAATGACTGTAATAATATAAAATAAATTTATTTCTTTGTAGAATGTGATTCAATGTTAGATAAATTAGCTAAACAAAAAGAACAGTTTGAAAGTTGGATTAAATATACAGAACAAGCAAATGTAAGTATATATTAGCTTTATTTTTCAAAACTTGTTAATGTAAAGTATCAGTTATAACTATTTGATTTTTACATAAATTTTACTTTAAAAAATAATTTCTTTAATACCTATTGCTTCTTACTCTTTCTTTTATTCTTTGGGAGTAAGCACAAAATTGCTATGTAGAACTTATTACACAGGAACACTTTTTGATGAATAATATAGACTATTTTGTGCAACAGAAAAGCATTTTGGGCTGTTTAACTCTCTTCAGTTCTTAGTCCTTCAGTCCAAAATGCCTTTTTGTTGTACAAAATAAAGTCTATATTAATCATCAAAAAATGTTCCTGTGTAATAAGTTCTACATAGCAATTTTGTGTTACTCCCAAAGAATAATTTCTTTACTTTAGTATGATACTAATGGATATACAGTAGAACATCGATTATCCAACCCCCGATTAACCGTCACCTCGGTTAACCGACTGTCCTAGTCAGCAAATTTCAAATGTCCGCTAGTGATGTGGCGCTACAATATTTGGCTATGTCTTGGCTACTTTAATATTATTTTTGTGTGTTTTAGCTGGCAACACTGGATTGATCATGAAAGGGAGCCAGTATTTAAACAAGGCTTAATTTTCTAAATTTTAACGATACAATAGCGACGATTATTATTTTAAAAAAATTTTTGTTCGGCTTAACATCGATGAAAATTCGACGCGAAGTAGGTTAATAGTGATATACTAATTACATGGGATATAATAATATACTACACTAATAATAGATTTTTTCATACTTTTCGGTTATCCGACTTTTCAATTATCCGACCAACCCCAGTTCCCAATTGAATCGGATAATCGAGGCTCTACTGTAAATTAAATTTTTTTACATTTGAAATAATTATTTACTGATAGGCTACAGTTTTCATAAAAGTTATTTCTTAGGATTGAGCAGTTTATAGTAAAATTAGGATAATATTAATGTTATAAAAAAATAAATAAGTAAAAATTAACAGTTGATTTTTAAAAAGTTTGAATTGTCATTTACTTAAAAGAAAAAGAAAAGGATATTACACCATCTGCCATATAATATCAGGCTATATATTGGAGATAATAATTATGAATTACTGATTACTTTGATCTTAGAGGGAGGCGTTAGGTGACATTTTGTATTAAATTTAATAAGCACATAGAAGGCCTTCTATGTGGCCTAGTGACCTTCGGACAGTACTTAACAAAATAATGCAATTCATTTGATATCACTTTGTCACACGCACTCATGCTACAACCTTGTATCTCTAAAACAAAGTCATGAATCTCCATTTTTTTTAATAAAGTTTTTGGATTCCTGATTGCAGTTAATGAAAAATGGCAAAGTTTAATCAAAATTGATCAAACAGCTTTTGAGAATGAACACAATTCTGTAAGCCACATAGAAGAGGCTTTGCTAATGCTTTGTCTCAATTAAGATCAATGAATATCTTGTCATTAACCAATTTAAACTTTGCAAGATAAGAATTCAACAGATTTCATGAAATTAAATTTCTAATTATATAAGAATTTATCAAAAAGCATTTGACTCTGTCCACGTTCCCCTATTGGTAAACAATTTGAAGACTAAAGTTGCAGGTGTATGTTTTTCATCAACAATACTAAAACTATTCTGTAAATATAATATAAAATTCAAACAGGGTAAAACTATATCTTCTTCACTAGACTTATCATATGGACTTCAACTTTGAATAAATAAGGCAAAAGAGGATCACCTTGGTGATCCTCTTTTGCCTTATTTATTCAATTTTTATTTACTTGAAATAGATCAACTTTTCCATACTCCTTCAGATGGCATCGAAGTCGGTAATAGAGCCTTTCATTATATTCAGTTCACAGATGACCTGGTAATTATAGCTCCAACCAAAATTGCTTTACAAAGAAAAATTAATCAACTAAACTCATACTTCAAATTGATTCATTTAACAATAAATCCTGCAAAAACAAAGATTATCATATTCCGCAACAACAGTGAAATTTCAGAAAAAGAATCAAAATTATACTTAGACAATACCTTTCTATAAATGGTAAAAGAAGTTAACTTCCTGGGAGTTATATTTGATTGGAATGCCACATTTAAAGCTCATTTCTCTAATATTAATAATAAAATGAAGCAGGCTATAGACAATTTATTGTATTTATGCTCAACTCTGAAAACTACAAACTTGCATATACATAGAAAACTTTACAACTCAATAATCCTATCATTTATGCAAGCCCAATTTGGGGTCTGGACTATATATACAAATTTGAATGCTTCCATATTTACTTCTTTCGCAAACTACTACATCTAGAAAGGTCTGTTCCCAGCTATGCAATACGTCACAAAACCCACCGCATTTGGTCCTTTCCTTTCTTCTAAAACATATAATCAAATTCTACTACTGTTTGAAATTCAAACATAACAATAATATAACTTTTATATATCAGGAAATAATTAAAAAAAGTAAAAATTCTAGTACTTTGGCAAAAAAGTTCCACAGAATATTGAATTCATTTGGAATGTCTAATCTATTATTTAAAGATAATCTTTATGACTGGAAATATAGATATACACTATTGATGGAAGCAGCAATATCTCAGTCCATAAATAAAGACCAAATTAACCTAAACCAATGTAGCTATCACCCTTGGTATGTAAATCTATTACATATTCCATCTTCTCAACTGCATATGACTAAATCAATAAACCTTAACATTAAAAGATTAATAGCTTAATTATGGCTTAACAAATACTCTCTTTTCATTGGTAGCATCTATATCAACTTCTCACCCTCTTACTAGTGTAACTCTCAAACATTCTCGATGTGCCATCTTTTACAGAATTGTCAATGACTTGCAAGTATGAGTGACAAACAAGATATTATGTGGCTACTCCAAGGCAACTCACTTCTCAAATTTAGAAAGAATTTAAATAATCTCAATAAAAAAGATCTATATAAACTGTATAACTTCTTCATAAAAATTGTAGGAAAATTAATAAACTAAGATAAAGGAATTTAATTTAAATTAGTATTGTATAAAGGTTATCTGTTTCTGTTATGTTACCTGTATTAAAATTGTCTTCTTTGATTATGATCAAAACACATTCATATTGAACCAATCGTTAAATAACTGTTTAAGTGTGTCAAATTAAAAGCTGTTACAAAATTTTTGTAAAAACTCACTTAATATTTGTATAACCCCCTTCAACAGGGTTACTTTCCCTTTCTGTTAATAAAGATGATAATGATTAAATAAGAACTTATACAATTAGAATATATTATGTATAATTTGTATTTATGATTGCCTAATAATAAAATATTTTTCAGGAAGAAGATTTAGTTGAAATAAGGGAAGAATATGATCCAGTTAAAGAAAAACTTTGGAAAGGTATTATTTCAGTAATACATTTTCTTAAATATAAGTTTGTATTTTTTTTAATAGTGATTCTGCTTTCCTCATAAAAGTTTTCTAAATAGCATTAAACTTTTAAAGCAATGATAATATGTTCAAATCAAACACGTGTTATATTAACAATGAATTATATCAGAATTTTAAATTTTGTTATACTACAGTTTATATTACTTCAATGAAACCATATTCATCAACATTAAAATTTAAGAAATTCATTTTATTTTGGTTTCAGAATGAAAATTGCCACCTTATGCATGAAATTGTGTGACAATAAAGAAAAATTGTATGTAATCACACGCATAAAGCAATGATTTTCTGCAGTGGTTTTTTTTGAGAGCCTGTGATAAACAGAAAAAAATTTTGTTGACTAAAATTTTTACACAGGTAGATAGCATATCATGAGGATATCACTAAGTACAGCTGAGTATGTCAGTTTGCTGAAAAAGTAGTAGGTGTGGAAAATTACCACTATGTCATATAATTGCAGATAAATAGAGGAATCCAACTTCATTTCATTTGTCTTAAGCTATGTATTTGGAAAAATAAATCCTATACCACTAATTAGTATAATGACTATTGTAACGTCATCTATATGAATGTGAAATCAGATTTTATTTTTACTATACCTGTTTAATTTCATGACATTACATTATGATGGAGTGAATCAATATTTTTCATATATTATATGATTCACTCTCTCTTCTTTATTTTCCTTATCAAATATTTTAAAATTTCATCTTTAATTTAATTGATTTTCATTTACTTGCATCTATTTTTAAAATTTTTTAGTTTTATAAAGTGAGTCAAATTAGATTCAATTTAATATTTCTTGATAATTAGCAAAATGCATGAAATTCAAGAATAATATTTTTTATTTAACATGTTATTTTAACTATTTTTTGTTTTTTAAATAAAAATTTACTGAATAATAGTGATTAGAAACTGAAGTTAATAGTTGAACTAAATTAGCAGTGTTGGAACATTTATATAACAACATATAATAGTAAAAAATTATAAAACAAGTGTGATATTGTGAAAAACATTCTTTGACAAAGATTTTCTTTCATATTCTTTCAGTTCAAGAATGTTTATCTACTTTCTAAATCTTAATTTGATGAAATTTATCTGCTCTTCAGATTAAGATTGATGGGTTTGTAAGTAAAAATTAAGGTTTAAAACTGTACCTTCAGATAATAGAACAGTTTGTTTTTGTGAAAGTCAAGGTGAGATTAAACTATTATCAAAAATTTCATTCAGAAATTTTAGAACAGTTTCTGTGCATTAGTCTTTTGAGAGAAAGAACTCACATGGAAAAAATTAATTTCCTCTTAATGGTGTTATATTATATCATGTGTTCTAAATATAATTCATATTCGCATTACTTATTGATGTATTTGAGTTCACAAGGAATTTGTTATATAATTGAGCATTCAAACTATATTTAGATATTAGTACTGTAAAATATAGCTCAGATTTTAATTTCTATTTCTGATTATGTAGATAACTAAAATAATGTGAGGAATAAAAAGCAATTTATATAATGTAGAAACAATTATTATTTCATTTTTATAAATGTAAAGCTTTCACAGAAAAATATGGTTATTTTAATTTTATTAAAATTTTTAATAAAAATATTTAATTTTTACATGTTATTGTTATAGCAACAAAATTTAGGAAATATTTAATGTGATATGATAAATATTATTAAATAATAATCTCAGAAATTTGATAAAAGTGTGAATTAGTTATGATGCGTGCTTAAATTTACTCATTAAATAATTTTTGTTATTTTGAAATAGATGTGTAGATAAATTCAAATTTTTTATAGAACAACACAGAAAAAATATTCAAGCTTTTCGAAAACAATTAGCAGAGGAAATTAAACTAGCTGAAAATAAGGAATTACACGAAAAGAAAAAAGCACTGTTAACTGAGAAAGTATTAACAGATGAAGAATTACAATTGAGATTTAAAGATCTTGAAATACAAGAGAAAGAAAATGATGAATTTGCTAAGTAAGTATACTTATTTGTTTATTATTAATTTTATTTTCTTTTATTTATTTGTCGAAACTGTGTCTTCTTCTTCTTCTTGTTTCTTCTAATTCTATGTCACGACTTGTGCATTTATCAACACTTGGCAAATAATTTCATCATCCACTTTTAATTCATATGGATACGCGTTTTGGGCTTTTGCCCCTCTTCAGTCTGTTACATTGATAGGTTGTGACTTGTGTATACAGTATCAGTCAGGCACCTTCCGTACTTCCCACTCCCCTCTTCTCCCGACTTGATGGCCACCCCCGCATGCCTCGTAACTTGTAACGTGTCACTTCCCCGAGTGCTGCACACAGTCTCGCCTGCGACTGTATAAACATTCTATTTTAATAATTGTAGCCAGTTCTTATGAATGTCAATGCTTAGGTTCTTGTTAATATTATTTTTGTCTGTAGTGATTTCGTAGCTTTCCTTGAATTTTCTTTTGTATTAATTTTTTTTCTTTGTGTACTATTATTGCATCATTCTTATCTATTTTGCAGTTGTGGGTCGTGCAATATTCGTAAAAAAACAGAGTTGATTCTTTTATACTTAAGGTCTGTGATGTGTTCTTTTAATCTTGTTTCTAATTTTTGTTTTGTTTCTCCAATGTATACTTTTGGCTGTTCGCATGTGCAAGGTATTTTATAGACGACTTCGGTAGTGTTGTATTTGTCTGGTTGCTTATTTATGTTGGGTTCAGCCTTCCGGATTCTTTTTTGCAAGTTGTTATAGGTTGGGGCTAGCTTTATATTTATTTTATCAAAACTTTTGGAAAATAAACAAAACAGAGAAAAAAACATAGTAAGATACATACCCTTCCCCTACATTTGTGGCTTCTTTGAACAGGTAAACAAAAGTTTTGATAAAATAAATATAAAGCTAGCCCCAACCTATAACAACTTGCAAAAAAGAATCCGGAAGGCTGAACCCAACATAAATAAGCAACCAGACAAATACAACACTACTGAAGTCGTCTATAAAATACCTTGCACATGCGAACAGCCAAAAGTATACATTGGAGAAACAAAACAAAAATTAGAAACAAGATTAAAAGAACACATCACAGACCTTAAGTATAAAAGAATCAACTCTGTTTTTTTACGAATATTGCACGACCCACAACTGCAAAATAGATAAGAATGATGCAATAATAGTACACAAAGAAAAAAAATTAATACAAAAGAAAATTCAAGGAAAGCTACGAAATCACTACAGACAAAAATAATATTAACAAGAACCTAAGCATTGACATTCATAAGAACTGGCTACAATTATTAAAATAGAATGTTTATACAGTCGCAGGCAAGACTGTGTGCAGCACTCGGGGAAGTGACACGTTACAAGTTACGAGGCATGCGGGGGTGGCCATCAAGTCGGGAGAAGAGGGGAGTGGGAAGTACGGAAGGTGCCTGACTGATACTGTATACACAAGTCACAACCTATCAATGTAACAGACTGAAGAGGGGCAAAAGCCCAAAACGCGTATCCATATGAATTAAAAGTGGATGATGAAATTATTTGCCAAGTGTTGATAAATGCACAAGTCGTGACATAGAATTAGAAGAAACAAGAAGAATTTTATTTTCATTAACATTTCATAAGTCCTGATGAATACTTTGGAATAGTAATTAAGTATTTGATATTAGTTTATCAGAAAATTCTAGTACAGAAACTGCTGAATCTGAAGAAGAGGAAGAGGAAGAAAAGGAAGAAGGAAAAGAAATTGGTAAAAGAATAACTTGGAAAGATCAAATCCATGCAAAATGCAATGTTATTACTTTTACTCATACTAAATTTGAAGAAGGCAGACAAGAAGCAACAGATGATTTGGTAAATTTAATAATTATATTTAAAGTAACTAAATGTTTTAAATTATTAACTTCTCTATTATCAAATTTAAATTTAGAAGTTTTAATTATTAGGATAAGATATGCTGTATTGCTTATTCCATTGATAAATACAATGAAATATTTTTGGATATTATCCTTTGAAGAAGAAAAAAAGGGATCTTATTTAAATTCAGATAACAAAAATAAAAACAAATGAACAAACAGATTTCAAGACAAATGGACCAAAGATTCACACTCAATGCCAAATGATACTGTAATGCATCAGGCTATTTTTTGGCTACATTAATAATTAAATTTTTAAACAATTAGTTACTAGAGGTAGATATTAGGTGTCATCTTGTATTAAATTTAAAAATTATAATAAATTAATATTTAATAAATAATTTAGAATATTCTGGAAGAAAAGAATATACCCATAGAGGACTTGAACCTGTAACTTACCATGTGGATGCATTGCCAGTTAGTTATACTACATTGGTTTGCTAACCAGAACAGGACTCAAACCCAGTTGCAGGTTCAAGTCCTGTTCTGATTAGCAAACCAATGTAGTGTAACTAACTGGCAATGCATCCACATGGTAAGTTGCAGGTTCAAGTCCTCTATGGGTATATTCTTTTCTTCCAGAATATTCTAAATTATTTATTAAATATTAATTTATTATAATTTTTAAATTTAATACAAGATGACACCTAATGTCTACCTCTAGTAACTAATTGTTTAAAAATTTAATTATTAATGTAGCCAAAAAATAGTCAAATGCATTACAGTATCATTTGGCATTAATGATGATGGGTTTTGAGATGTTTATATATAATCCACACTCAGCACCTTGGAAAACCACTGAGTACATTTTGTGTTGCTAGTAATGTAATATTCACATGGTATGGAATGACACAATTTCATTGATCAGGTAAACAGAAATTGATGTTTCTCAACAAAAATAGTTATTGACTGCCTGTATGAGAAGATAATTCAAGACATCAAATTTTTTCTAATGTTAACTCTAATATATCATTCATAGCCAAATGTGAAATGGTAATTGGCCAACCAATCAAATTATACAAAAAATGAACCAAATATTTGAACTTGACACCCTTGAAAACATAAAAACATTTTGTGCTCACTGATAACTTTGTATTAAGTAATTTTCTTATTTTAACATTCACTGGTCAGATAGAAAAAGGGCTTGTTGCAGACAGGAGGTTGAAGTTAATTGACCAAAAATGGTCATTGACCTCCTCTAGAATGAGAGGATGGCCCCTGAAAAGTTTCATTGCATTTACTCAAACCACGTTGAAATGTATAAAGAACAAATTAACCAACAAACTTTCTTCTCTGTATATTATATTAGCTTAAAAATCCAAAAATAAACATGATCGTCATAGTTAATACTTCTTTAGGAAGAAATTTTTATAGATCTGATATTTAAACTTTTTTCTGGAATAGTTATTATTATTGCTAGATTTTAGAATCAATAAATAATGAATGTAAAGATATTACATTAGCAAACAATTGGTATCATTTAAGATGTGTCAAGTTGATGATATATCATTGGCAAAAAAAAATTGTTAGAAATTAAAAATTACAAAACAGAAATCATCAATTTGAAATATGAAGGGTTGATTTATTTAAGATATGATATATCTCTTTCAGAAATATCTTACCATAAGCTAAAGCATTTTTGTAATGCTACAATCTGTAGTATTTAGCCAAAATTTAAAAAATAAATGCTCATATTCAAATGATATATTGTTTATACTAAGGGTATTGAATATAAAAGAAAATTACAGCTCATAACAATAATTTTTTGGAATTTAGTTAAGCTACAGATAAAACTTCTTACTTTACTATGGTGTGTTACAAGTCAAAGTAGGATATCAATGAACAAAGTATTGGAGGTGATTCTGAAGATGAAAAAAAATTACACTAGGATTGCTATATCCTAGTGTAATTTTTTTCCCTCACATGATAATCAGTCTCAATTTGTTTTGACTTGCCTTTGTATTATTTTTAAAATATTTGTAAAAGTACATAAGTAGTAAACAGAAATGAATAAAGGTGAGAGAAATTAATATTTCTTCTTGTTTTAATAGACTAAATGTAAAAAATATAAAACCATTCGACAACTAACTAATAACTAGCATTGTGAAATTCAATAATTTAATCATCGTTCAAAATTCTTTATGAATAACTGAAGCAATTTCCTGCAAGACTGTTCATTTTCTATAAATATCATATTTGATATTTAACTGTAAACACAGAATTAGAATAATAATAACCATAATAAATAAATATATATATATAAACTTATATATTATATATAAAACTTTTTATTATTCTTTTAAGTAACTATTAGTAAGAAATACATAATTATATTAAGCAGAAATTTCCTGAAAATATAAAAATGGCATGTTACTGAAAATGATTTTCTAATTATTATGCCAAAATTTAGGAACCGAAAACATCCGAAAGTGGAGCACCTCGTATTCAAAGTCCCTCTGATATTTATAAAGAATTTGCAAATATAATTAAACCAAATGAACTAAAATCAATATTAAAAACAACCAAGATTAAAGAAAATACAGAAACTGTGCCTTTATTTGATAAAACAGAATCTGTTGAAATAGTAAATGATAAAGAAATTTATCCTCTTCCTAAACAGTCGAAATCTGTTGGATTTAAAAATACTGAAATTTCTAAAATTAAAAGCAGTTATCAGACAGTGAGTACATTTTTATTTTATTATCAATCAAATGCATTTAATTAATATTTTTAAAATAAAAATCTTGTTTTAAAGGCTTTTAGTGGAGAAATTCAAGAACGAGAAACAGGATTGGGAGAAACTATGGCAGTTTCGCGACCCAGGGTATCGAAATTTAAATCTCAACGAATGAACATGAAAAAGTGATACTAAACAAGATTATTATATTTTTAAATGTATGTAAATAAAATTGTTATTTTTAAAATGCATTTGCTTATTGAACTTAACATTGTACAATTTTCATATAATTAAAGAAAAAAAAAATACCTGAAGTAAGAATGAACTCAACTTTATTTAGTACTGATTACAACTTTCTTAAATCAGTTATTTAATAATATAAAAATTTTCTTCTATAGAATACATCAAAATAAGAAAGTTTATTTTATTATTAAAATTTGAAGTATTTTTTTATTTAGAATTTATATTATATATTAAATGATATTCCTTATAAGAATTATTAAGTGTCCTCATCAGATTTTCATGATTTTTACATGTTGCAAAACAGCAAAAAACATTTTAAGGGTTCCAATCAGCCCTCAAGGTTGGACGTGTTGAATAATGATTTTACAGTCTCATTTAGAAACACTTATCTAATACAAAATAATAATGAAAAAAATATTTTCATAATTATTTTTTGAAATAATTTTTAGAGCAGATCAAAAGCTACATTTAAGAGAATAAATCCTATGACACTATATGGTATGCAATCATATTAGAAATTCTTATTTTATTTTGATAAAACCAAAATCATGTAATTGTTTTCATGATTCAAGAATTTTGAAATCTATAAAAAAAAATGTTATTTGTACTTTAAATGGGCATTTGTTTTTTTAAGGAAAGTAATTGTTCCCATGTACAGTACATTACACAGAATACAATAAAATGCTGAAGAGATGATTAAGCACATGAAATGGCTTGTTGAAGGATTCGTAAGAAATAAAATTTCTACTATGATTAAAATATAATTTTACAAAGTCTTGTTAATAATTGAAAGTGTGATAACTGGATGGTTGAGGCAGCTAAGGTATCAGCCAACTGCTCTGAGTGATCTAGGATTGAATCTGGGCAGTCAAAAAATCCTGGGAATCTTTTGAGGTGGTCTATCCTCTTCACCCATGCTGGGAACATAGTGATTGCATGTAGATGTACACAAATGTGGTGCCTGAAGTTCAGCAGACTGTCAGACCATAAAGCACAAAAAACCAGTTTTAATCAGTGTTCATTTTAAAAAAATATTTACATGAAGCCAGAAATGACTCCAATGAATTCTTTAATTAATTAATTTGCTTTAATAGAAGTGAGTAAAATATTCAGTTTAAGCTTTTGAGTTGTGTCATTAAGTAACAAATTGAGTCTAAACAGTAACTCAAATAATACAACAATTTCTGGATTAATTTCAAATATAATCTACTGTTATTAAAAACTGCTTTATAAATTATTTTATTTTTAAACGAAAATAAAAGTTCTAATATGATTTGAATAATATTTAATACCAAAAAATAGCATTATTACATAAGAATATAAAGAAAATGTTAAATACTTTGTAAAATTGATAAATTCTAACATCTGATGATGTCACTTAAATATTTACTCTAAATTTGCCATTTGCAAGTTGTAGAATAAATATTTTATTTTCAGCTAGCCATAGCAATACTAAGAAATTTGAGCTGTTGACATTGTCCCTTATATATTGCAACCATACTCCAATATTTGCAGTCCCACATTTGACAAATAATCTATCTTGATTTCCTTATTTTCATGTGAATCAATTGAAATTTGATAAAGCAAATTCTTCTATAAAACTTTCCTGCATCAAGAGATTATAACTAACAAATTAAATATTTTTGATTGTGTACAAACTTTAAATGCATACCTTGTAAGTAAATAGAAGAAAATTGGAATTAAAATTTTAAACATTACAAATAATATTAACTAAGTAATATATATTTTAAACGTTTTAAGAAAAGTAAAATTTTGTAAATTAGAGATTAAATCTAAATTTGATCTAGAAAATATATCTCACATAATAATTTTAATATATAATAGAAGATAATATTCACATCATGTTTTACTAAACTGTTCAGCATCTTGACATCGTATAGATGAAAAGAACAAATTGGTCAGCATTAATGAATGCTTTTAGCATCAATAGTGAATTTCTCAATAATTGATGTGTATTCAAAACAGTAGTTAAACAAACTACTAATAAGCATCATTTAATCTGTAGTTTTAATCTTAAATTCAGGAAACTTTGAAATATGAAACTTACACTATAAATAATCAAATTGACTGGAATATTTACAACCTGTGGAAAGTTTTTGAACAACAACAGCTGTGCGAAAATGATTGATTACAGGAAGTTTTTTTGTTTGTTAACAAATAATACCAGAATAATAAAAATTCTGGAGTTTGTCTAATAATGAGCTTTTTATTATGCAAAATAGCACACTGCAAAAGTAGTTTGGAATATAAAGAAAATCTTGTCCAAATCCTAGTTTGGAAAAAGTTTTTGAACATAGAAAAAATGTATTAAAGCACTTTCTGTAATGATAATCACACATTAATTTTTGCAACTTAGTTGTCTGAAAGTATGGTCTGCATGTATTAGCATTATTGTTGCCTTTACATTGATCTAAAATGTGCCCTGTTAAAGAATACTGAGGATTTTTGAAACAAAATTGCAACTTTGATTTTGGAAGGAAAAACTCAGAAGTTTTCGATAGCTTGGTCATGCTGTTTCAACAGTAAATTACATGTGGAAGAAATGTGAAAGCATAAAAACATCGAAGAGAACTGGCTGATCAAGAGCAGCAAGCAAGAATCAAGATCATGCCTTAAGATGCATCTGTCTACAAAATCAGAAAGCCACATCAAAAGAATTAAATGTTTAAGTGGGAAGTTCACCATGCCAATGTTTGCAATTGTACAGTTTGAAATCAATTAAATGAAATGGGGACTAAGTTTTGTAGTCAAACCAAAACCATTCAGGATGAAACAACACATGAAAAAAAATGAATGGAATGAGCAAGGCATTACCAAAAGGGTATGAGTAACGATTGGGAAAAAGTTTTTTTTTTTTTTTTGATGAAAGCAGACTCTGTGCTTGATGTGGAGACAATGCTTGGACAATTTGTATGGTGCAGAGCAGATAAAAATTTGACAAGAATGTCTTTTGCATTAGAAATTATGGTTGGTCTTAGATATTGAGCTGCATGTAAGCAAAAGGCAAATGTGAACTGTTTTCTAAAAGAAATAAATGGGAAAGAAATTTTTGACAGACTTCTGATTCCTGTAGTGGAAAATTAATCTGGGGATGAAGAAGTTGTTTTCCAGGATGATAACGCAAGTTGTCATTGTATGAAAAACATAAAAGAAATTTTGAAAAAGAAAAACATTAAATCTTTACTTTGAACACCAAACAGCTCTGATTTAAATGTTTTTGAAAATTTCTGGGCTAATGGAAAATGTTAGTGGGTGAAAAACAACCTACCACAAAGAAATAATTGAAAGCTGCTTTGTTGCAGAGCTGGAAGGAAATTAATAATGACTATTGCTCAGAACTTGTTAAATCAATGCCATACTGTATTAAAGCTGTCATTAATCCAAAGGAGGTCCACCAAAATATTAAAGAATTTCCATTTCTTTTTTGGGCTACAATTTGAAAAATTTGTAGACCTATAAATTCCCACCGTCATCTATCTTTCCTTAATCTTGAGAATGGAGTTAGATGACAGACAAGACCAGATAGGGAAAATTTAGGGGCAGGCCCTGATTAACTATATATGAACTTCTGATGCAAAGCAGAAGTTCATATACAGTATGGTTATTTCAATTTAAAATTTTTCCCTGAAAGGTGTTAATGATGACTCTATTGTTAAAGGAAAAGTATGATGTACAGGGGCAAGCCACTACTAATTTGAGGTGGAAAGCATATATTTTAAATTAAAAAATGATTAAAAATTTCAGCATGGCATTGTGATGTCACAATAAATAATTGTTCATTTCTACTGTTTAAAAATTTTTTTCTGAGATGGGAATGTTCAAAAACTTTTTCCAGACTAGATTTTGGATAAATTCTTTTTCTATGCTCTGAATTATTTTTCTAGTATGATATTTTGCATGATAAAAGCTCTTATCATTAGAAATAAACTCAAGAATTTTTATTACTCTAGGATTATTTGTTAACAAATAAAATTTCTACAATCAATAATTTTCACATAGCTGTTGGTTTGAAAATTTTTTTTAATGGGTTGTACAATAAATAGTTAATCCACATTCAATTCCCAGCATTCGTTTTTCAAACAAGTATTTTCATTCTTTTAAAGGATCATCTTCAGGTTCAGCAAACAAATTATACCTTAGTTATTGATTAGTTAATAAAAATTAATCTTTGGCTATTTAATTATTCATACACTGTCTGTCTAAAAAAGTAACTAAACTAGTTCCAGAAAAAATGCACAAATTGAGATACAACTCTATTATGATCCATTTAGTCCTACAATGGCTATGATCTTACAATGTTCATGAAACAAAACTGCTAATAGACCTCTTCTATGGTGCCCTTGTTCTCTTGTCACACTTGCTTGAGTGTCTTAAATCATTATACTGATACCTTCATGTGAACTTTGATCTTTAGAAAGAAGAAAGTCTACAGGTGCCAAATGTGGAGCTCCCGGGAGGAAAGTACTGGGATTTGCATATGAGCAAGGAACTTGGATGACAATCCCAACCAAATGCATGGGAATCATTCTTCTGGTACAGGTCTGGCTTGACATGCAACTTCTGCTATCATTTGGCATATCACATGATAATCTCTGGTCAGAAGAGAGCAAAGTTTAGACATTTTCAATCAACAGTGTGTTGGGAGGCTTGAATTCACATTCAGCCTTTATGGAACCATTGAAACTATCTAAAGATGTCCTGAGCACTGAGTCCCATAGACTTGTTTCAATAGCTGGAAGATTTCTGACAATTTTGCCAAGTTTCAAACAAAACTTAGTTGCTACCACATTGCTTTGCAAGATTGATGATGCAGGAAAATTACATTAATGCTTTGTGTCAAGCATTAACAGAACACATTAATGTAGTGTTTCCCAACGTTTTTTGTGCTATGCCCCACCTAAGCCTTTCTAAAATTCTTATGCCCCCCTAACATATACAGCAGCTATATGGTTAACTTAAACTCAGGACGTGTCCATTTTCGAATTGCCCCCGTGGGGCGTGGGCCCCACATTGGAAAACACTGCATTAATGTATGCTTGACAATAACACATTCTTGCAATATGAAATAAATTACATAGCAAAATGACAATATTAGCATATGTTACATTTATATTCTTGGCACATATGCTGGTCACTATAAATATTCAGTCTAGTTACTTTTTAGACAGATGGTATTGTCTGAAATATTTCATGCTGAATTTCATCATTAGATTAAATTAAATTCAAACAAGTATGGTGTAATAAAGATTGTAATATAATAAAGAATTAAAAGTATATAATTGAAAGAAAAACACAAAATACATCTACATATTTAAAATTTATTTTTCAAACCATTTTTTAAATTTTACAAAAGTACAATTTATCAAATTTTCATTTAAAAATTTTAATATATTTGCAGTATTTATTAAATCTGTGTCTGTGTGCATTCTATATAATTTGATTTTAATTAAGTGATAAATTTGCAACATATTAAATGATTTCAAAAAATAAATAAATACATGTTAGAACAACGTTTTTCAAAAATTTCAATTTGCTTATTGTGCTTTGAAGACTTTTATAGATTCAAATATCAACAAATTCTCCACAAATGGAGTTACATAAGTTTCATTGTCCTGCATTAACTGTCAATCCTCTCAAGCTGCTCCTAATCATCTAATGACGATCAAATCAAAAATGTGCAAGATGACCTTAATATTAATAAGCCAAATTGAACAAAAAGTTAAATAAATTGCACCCAATACTGACTTCTTATATGAGCATTGACATGTTAAATGCACATGGCAGTGATTTATATAATACATGAAATGGTAAAATGATGATACAAGATATTATTTTATAGATATTTTATGCATCAGTTTTAAAACTGTACAAATTTCATAAAAAATTTAAAATGTACAATGCTCAACTGTATACAAGTTACAACAATTTTATATATAAACAACCATAAGGACAAAATTTTATGATTAAAAAATTGTAAAAAATTTCCCAAATTAGATTATTTTTTAATTCCCACAACCTTGGCTTATTTATTAATGATTTAAAATGGGTGGGTAAATTCATTTTATTCGTTGTGTACTTAATGGCAGTGTAATGACTAGAAGTCATTGTTTGTTCAGTTGCATATTTATCTTCAACTGCAAATAATACAGTTTTGTTCAGCAACTATTATTGTACTAGAAAATCATTAGATCACATTTAAAAACTAGTAAAATTCAAGTGGATAATGATTTTACTAGTATGCATTTGATCGTCCCTTTTTTTTATCACTACTTGGTGGGGTGAGTTCATTTGCACTTATTTCTGCAGGCTTCTTCTGTGTTAGAATTTCACTTTGTCGAAGTTTTGCTTTATCCTAGGAACAAAAATTTATTTTAAAAACAGAAAAATTTATAAACAAATTTAAGCATTTAATTAAATTTACCAGTAATTCCAAATTAACATTGTGATGTTGAATATTATATTTATGTTCTTGCAGATCTACATTTGGTAAATTAATATAACTTTCTCCACATTCCTGAACAGTAAGAGCAAATGGTAACATCCAATCTATGCATGCAGCTATATCAGACTTCCTAAGACCTATAAATAACACAATTAAAGTTACCACCACCATCATCATCAAACAGAATTTTTTTAAATTAATAAATATCCACCTGAAACAGCAGTTGCAATTCTCTCTGACATCATTAAATATACTGCAGATGCTGCTAATGTTCTATAGGAAAACTGTAAACAATCAATATCCAGCATACAGAGATCAATCAACTGTAAAAGAAAAAATTTCTATTAGAAAATAATATAATCATATCAAAATATTTTGTACAATTTAATATACTTGTATATAATCCAAAATTTGATTATCATGAATAAATTGACAAAATAATTTTTTAATAAATAAATCTGCATTAACTATAAAGTATGTGACTGAGTATTTAATTTTAATAAATTTAATTTGAACACAACTAACACCATTAAATTTATACATTTTTAGTATTACAATTCAAGGAACAAATTATTTCATAAAAGGAAATAGAACATTATCTCAATCAATTTTTAAATTTATTTTCTTAAAGTATTATTTAAATTGATTAAAATATTATATCACATTTTAATATAAACAGATGTTTGACTAAAATATGACATTAAATGGAAGTATATATGTATGTTAAAATATCCATACTTGTGAGAGCTTCAAAAATTGATGACTTGAAAAATCAGGTAGCAGAAAATTTTCTTTATCATTGTTTCCTTCTTTAATTGTAGCCAATTGCAAATATATATTTAGCCAATTGTTCACTGTAATTGGCATAAGGTCCCAGTTTAATGCCTGAAATTAAAAATACAGATATAGTTTTATTATAAAGTATTTTAAAAAGACATTCAATAAAAATACAAATGAAAAATTACTTTAAGAATAACCATTTCTTTATCTAAAATTTCATCTTCTCTACAAGATCCATCTGTAATGTCTGCAAAATCACTTATTTTTGGAGGATAAATTTCCTAGAAGAGAACATTTTAAATCATATAAAATAATAAAGTTTAAACACTTTAAATTCTAAAGCATATTATTATTAATTGAATTTGTTTAAATAATATAAATCAGGTTTAGTTAAATATTCATATTTATTTGTGATTATAATTTTTTTCCACAGATTTAATACTTTGAAAATACCAAACTTGTAAAATTAATACAGTATTCATCTTTTCATTTATTTTTTTAATTTTTACTTGTTTTCTATTGGCAAGGTGATATATATTATATCAGAGTATAATAAATTATAAAAATTAAGAAAATAAAAAAAAATCTAGGAAATAAAATAATTACAAGGAAATAATTTTTAAAATTTACCTCAATTTTAGAAGCAATAAATAGGGCAGTAACCCCAACTAGTTGGAGTTGTTCTTTAGGTATATCTTCCTGTACACTGAGGTAGCGGTCAACAAAATCCTGAGATAAGTATAATGTTTCTCTATGTAACCGATATGAATCACACACCTATAATTTTTAAAAATTATTTTAATGATTATTTTCATAATGCATCTAAAAGGTAATTATAATAAGCTAACACACAACTTTTTTAATTTTAAACTTACCTCAATTAGCCAATCAAGTAAGATTGCTCGCATTCTTGAATTTAGTGCTGGATGCTGACTCAACATGTTATGATTTCTAGTATAAGTTATATCTTTTTTCACTAGTACATCCCAAACATCCTGAGAATTTGCCCAATTGAAATAAGGCAAAGGTGACTGCAAAGAATGTGAAGACTCAGGTGTAAACAAACAAGTTAGGCTCCTGAAATTACTAAATGAAACTAAATCCACTGGAGTTTTATTTCCAGGATTGTTCTCTTCTTTATTAATGTCTTCATAAATAATTGAGCATGATTCATTGTTGTTATTTCCATTTTCAGATATCCTTTTTAGTTTTGTTTCTTTCTAAAAATTAATATAATAATAATATTAAATTTTAAAATAAATATCCTTACTGTACAAAATAAAACTTTACAAATTTTTTTAATTTAATTGTTTTTTTAATATATGTAAATTATCATCTTACAATTTAAGAAGAAATGTAAACTTAATAACATCTGCAACTGATTATAAAAGTTAGATAAACAACACAAGGAATATTTGAACTAATTCCCAAGATATTAAAACTGCAAAGTTTCTTGATATTTAATACTGATAAGTTTATTTATCAAACTTCCTGATTTAAAAAAATCAATAAAGTGTACATAGATAATAGTGTTGTACAGTACATATATACTGGTAGTGCATTCTATATAATTTGATTTTAATTAAGTGATAAATTTGCAACATATTAAATGATTTCAAAAAATAAATAAATACATGTTAGAACAACGTTTTTCAAAAATTTCAATTTGCTTATTGTGCTTTGAAGACTTTTATAGATTCAAATATCAACAAATTCTCCACAAATGGAGTTACATAAGTTTCATTGTCCTGCATTAACTGTCAATCCTCTCAAGCTGCTCCTAATCATCTAATGACGATCAAATCAAAAATGTGCAAGATGACCTTAATATTAATAAGCCAAATTGAACAAAAAGTTAAATAAATTGCACCCAATACTGACTTCTTATATGAGCATTGACATGTTAAATGCACATGGCAGTGATTTATATAATACATGAAATGGTAAAATGATGATACAAGATATTATTTTATAGATATTTTATGCATCAGTTTTAAAACTGTACAAATTTCATAAAAAATTTAAAATGTACAATGCTCAACTGTATACAAGTTACAACAATTTTATATATAAACAACCATAAGGACAAAATTTTATGATTAAAAAATTGTAAAAAATTTCCCAAATTAGATTATTTTTTAATTCCCACAACCTTGGCTTATTTATTAATGATTTAAAATGGGTGGGTAAATTCATTTTATTCGTTGTGTACTTAATGGCAGTGTAATGACTAGAAGTCATTGTTTGTTCAGTTGCATATTTATCTTCAACTGCAAATAATACAGTTTTGTTCAGCAACTATTATTGTACTAGAAAATCATTAGATCACATTTAAAAACTAGTAAAATTCAAGTGGATAATGATTTTACTAGTATGCATTTGATCGTCCCTTTTTTTTATCACTACTTGGTGGGGTGAGTTCATTTGCACTTATTTCTGCAGGCTTCTTCTGTGTTAGAATTTCACTTTGTCGAAGTTTTGCTTTATCCTAGGAACAAAAATTTATTTTAAAAACAGAAAAATTTATAAACAAATTTAAGCATTTAATTAAATTTACCAGTAATTCCAAATTAACATTGTGATGTTGAATATTATATTTATGTTCTTGCAGATCTACATTTGGTAAATTAATATAACTTTCTCCACATTCCTGAACAGTAAGAGCAAATGGTAACATCCAATCTATGCATGCAGCTATATCAGACTTCCTAAGACCTATAAATAACACAATTAAAGTTACCACCACCATCATCATCAAACAGAATTTTTTTAAATTAATAAATATCCACCTGAAACAGCAGTTGCAATTCTCTCTGACATCATTAAATATACTGCAGATGCTGCTAATGTTCTATAGGAAAACTGTAAACAATCAATATCCAGCATACAGAGATCAATCAACTGTAAAAGAAAAAATTTCTATTAGAAAATAATATAATCATATCAAAATATTTTGTACAATTTAATATACTTGTATATAATCCAAAATTTGATTATCATGAATAAATTGACAAAATAATTTTTTAATAAATAAATCTGCATTAACTATAAAGTATGTGACTGAGTATTTAATTTTAATAAATTTAATTTGAACACAACTAACACCATTAAATTTATACATTTTTAGTATTACAATTCAAGGAACAAATTATTTCATAAAAGGAAATAGAACATTATCTCAATCAATTTTTAAATTTATTTTCTTAAAGTATTATTTAAATTGATTAAAATATTATATCACATTTTAATATAAACAGATGTTTGACTAAAATATGACATTAAATGGAAGTATATATGTATGTTAAAATATCCATACTTGTGAGAGCTTCAAAAATTGATGACTTGAAAAATCAGGTAGCAGAAAATTTTCTTTATCATTGTTTCCTTCTTTAATTGTAGCCAATTGCAAATATATATTTAGCCAATTGTTCACTGTAATTGGCATAAGGTCCCAGTTTAATGCCTGAAATTAAAAATACAGATATAGTTTTATTATAAAGTATTTTAAAAAGACATTCAATAAAAATACAAATGAAAAATTACTTTAAGAATAACCATTTCTTTATCTAAAATTTCATCTTCTCTACAAGATCCATCTGTAATGTCTGCAAAATCACTTATTTTTGGAGGATAAATTTCCTAGAAGAGAACATTTTAAATCATATAAAATAATAAAGTTTAAACACTTTAAATTCTAAAGCATATTATTATTAATTGAATTTGTTTAAATAATATAAATCAGGTTTAGTTAAATATTCATATTTATTTGTGATTATAATTTTTTTCCACAGATTTAATACTTTGAAAATACCAAACTTGTAAAATTAATACAGTATTCATCTTTTCATTTATTTTTTTAATTTTTACTTGTTTTCTATTGGCAAGGTGATATATATTATATCAGAGTATAATAAATTATAAAAATTAAGAAAATAAAAAAAAATCTAGGAAATAAAATAATTACAAGGAAATAATTTTTAAAATTTACCTCAATTTTAGAAGCAATAAATAGGGCAGTAACCCCAACTAGTTGGAGTTGTTCTTTAGGTATATCTTCCTGTACACTGAGGTAGCGGTCAACAAAATCCTGAGATAAGTATAATGTTTCTCTATGTAACCGATATGAATCACACACCTATAATTTTTAAAAATTATTTTAATGATTATTTTCATAATGCATCTAAAAGGTAATTATAATAAGCTAACACACAACTTTTTTAATTTTAAACTTACCTCAATTAGCCAATCAAGTAAGATTGCTCGCATTCTTGAATTTAGTGCTGGATGCTGACTCAACATGTTATGATTTCTAGTATAAGTTATATCTTTTTTCACTAGTACATCCCAAACATCCTGAGAATTTGCCCAATTGAAATAAGGCAAAGGTGACTGCAAAGAATGTGAAGACTCAGGTGTAAACAAACAAGTTAGGCTCCTGAAATTACTAAATGAAACTAAATCCACTGGAGTTTTATTTCCAGGATTGTTCTCTTCTTTATTAATGTCTTCATAAATAATTGAGCATGATTCATTGTTGTTATTTCCATTTTCAGATATCCTTTTTAGTTTTGTTTCTTTCTAAAAATTAATATAATAATAATATTAAATTTTAAAATAAATATCCTTACTGTACAAAATAAAACTTTACAAATTTTTTTAATTTAATTGTTTTTTTAATATATGTAAATTATCATCTTACAATTTAAGAAGAAATGTAAACTTAATAACATCTGCAACTGATTATAAAAGTTAGATAAACAACACAAGGAATATTTGAACTAATTCCCAAGATATTAAAACTGCAAAGTTTCTTGATATTTAATACTGATAAGTTTATTTATCAAACTTCCTGATTTAAAAAAATCAATAAAGTGTACATAGATAATAGTGTTGTACAGTACATATATACTGGTATACAAACTATTAAGTAAATCAATTAATTACATATATAATTAGCATTAAAAAAAGATTTTAATATATATATATATATA